ATAAATATATATATATAATTTTTTTTGCTCTGTTACTTGCACATTTTACAGTTACCTCATTTTTCCCATGTATGTATTTGAAAAAAGGCTAATATATAGAAAAAAAAAGGTTCTTAAAGCTCTAAAAGTGTTTGGTTTTTTTTTTCCATTCCATTGGAATCATATTGGTTTTGTAGCATTTAACATAACTAGTATGTTGTATTATATATATGTGTATTATACTGATTGAAATTTTTAACAGATTTGTACTTTTTTTAAAATGAAAGTTGCTAGTTCTGCTTGACCAAGTAGTGCAATCATTATTTTTTTTAATGTTGTGGCTGATTTTGAGAGGGATATTCACTAATAAATGTATGATGTATACCAGCACGCTGTGCCGGCTCTGTCTCTGTGGTGGTCTGGGAAGAGGCCGGGGCAGCCGGATGCTCGCGGGACAGTATCCGATTCCGAGCATCCTTTGGGGTCCCTGCAGGGCAGCCAGCTGAGGTGGGTGCCGCCGTGTCCAGCCTGTGTTGCCAGGCCTGGCGTCACCCTGTGCGGGAAGCAGGACACCGAGGGACTCTGCCCGCTGCTCCCTCCCTGCCTTGGGCCATTACGGTCCCCTAGAGGCAGGAGAGAAGGGACTGGAAGAGCCGGACATGGCCAGAGCCGGTTGGGCTCCCAGGTCAGCTCGTGGCTAGAGGGATCCAGCAGCACCACAGCCCCCTGCCCTCCTGCCTCGTGGTCCTTTGCACCACGGCTCTCACTGACACAGAAATGCGTCCTGAGGTGACCCTCGGGGGGCCACACATAGCCCAGGAGGCTCCAACACTGCCTCTGCCCCAGCCAGGGCAGGAGCAACCCCTGCGCTCCCTGCTAGGTGGAGAAGCAGTGGCCACAGCCTTTCAGGGTGAATGGACGATGGCCGCCACGTCCCAAAGAGCCTGCAGCTACCCCAAAAAGGAAGATTAGCATCAGAAAAGGGAAGCAGAGCGGCTTCTTCAAGTCTAGATTTTTCCTAGCTTTTCTTCTCTTTGTGCTTCACGAAAGACATGCAATGAACTAAATGCAACAATCCTCCTTCTCCCTCTAAAAAGGCATATTAGCCTTGTGTGTGTGTGCGCGCGCGCGTGTGTGTGTGAGACAGCGAGGGGGAAGGAATGCAGTGGAATCTCCCTTTAGGGCCCAGGGCCAGAGCAGGCCCCTTTTCCTGAGGTAGCTCACAGGCAGGGTACTCATCTTCCTGCATTTTTTTCCCATTATAGTTTTATAGTTTAAGTTACATGTATTTTTAAGAAGGGTTGGCTCAGCTACAGTTGCACACAGTGAAGAAAGGGCATCTCGTCTACCCCAACTCTCTGTAATTCCTATCCCAGGCACAGCAGCATCCCCCCTCCCCAGGTGGCAGAAACACCCTGTCTCTCGTGCTGTCACCCAGGAACCGATTCAAGGCACCAACCCCAAAGCAGGCCCCAGGTTAAACATTTTAGCACCATGCCAGGAGCAAGGACTCACTGCAGAGCCACTGCAGCTGGAACCCCCTCCTCCGTTGCAGCAGGGCAGCACCACTGCACGTGGCACAGCCAAAAAGCATTTGTAGAGACATGCTAGAGGCAGAGTTTATTACACTACGCAGGCTAAGAACCCTGGGCAAGGTCCCACACAGGTAAGAATTGAACCAGCTCTTTATCAAAAAGAAATTAATACTATAGTCAATCCCATTCTCCTTTGGTCATTACAAAGCAAGAAAAAAAATATTAAAAGAAAGGTATTTATACAGAGAGAAGCTGAAAACGTTCTGTCCAGCCCTCCCTCCTGCCCCACTCCCAGCACATTCAGCTGCCCAGTCTTCTGGCTGGCTCTCAGGAGCAGCAGAGCATCAAAATCTTCACAAGACGTCAGGTTGTCGGAGTTTTATTATTATTGTCAATAAAAGCAATATTTACCGAGAGCTGCCATTCCTGTTGCTCCCCAGGGAGGGTGGAAGGGCAACACCAGCTCCCCTCCCTCTCTGCCCTCCAAGTACAGGGGATGGCTGTGTGCATGGGGATGTGAGGATGTGCACATGCACACACTTCCTCTCGCCAGGGCACACACGCAGCACGGCTGGCACAGGCCACATGGTCTCTGATCCCTCGTTTGTATGCAGTCTTTTAAAAAAAATATTGTATTATAATAATAATATGAATTTCTCTTTCCATTTGTGTATTCTGGAAAAGTGTCAATCGTCCGTAAGGTCCTGCACAAAGAGGACTTCCGTGTGGCTGAGTCCGGCCTCCTGCAGCGTGGGCGGGTTGGGCCACTCCTCTGTAGGGAGGCAGGGCAGGACACGGCGAGGGAAGTTGGCCTCAATCTGGAACTTCTCAGGGCTCTCTTTCAAGGAGAACAAGAAGTCGTGTATGACCTGGGAAGGAAGCACAGAAATAACTACCAGCTGGGGGAGCAATGAAACAGCTAGACTGCATGCAGGGTATTGCAAAGGGGATGACAGAGAGAGGGGTGACAGAATTTGTACCATCCCTGCATTATAGTTACAAGACAGACATCTTCCTAGCATGCATGAAATGGGCCTTGCCACGGGGTATTTGGTACCATGTACAAGTTTTGCCTTTCCCATACTTCTATTTAATAGGAAGTAACAGAATTCCAAAGCTTTTTGGAATGACGCAAGTTTTTTTTTTTAATTCTCCCACCTCCCCAGCTCTAGTCTCTCTACTCATGTTGGTGGAACTGAGCCCCAAACCAAAACACACCCTCCTTACCCAAGAACAAATCCGCCTGCTCAGGCTCTAGGCAAAGGTCACTGTTTGGCCAGGCCCAGTAGAGTCAAAGCTTTTCTGAGCCACCTGGACAATCTCCTGTATGTTTTCTACTCCATTTGGGAAGCCTGTCAGCTCTGCCCCAAGCTCACCGTCAAGGACTGTGTGAAATGGAACCGCCGCTCCACTCTGGAATCGTTGGGCAGCTTGAAAATGATCTTAACGCTCTCTGGGTCATCAGGATGCGGCTCAGGGGGAAGGCATTCCGACTTCCGCTCCTTCTCCTCCTGCAGCGTCTGCAAAGTAGTAAGGGAGTGGGAGTAATGGGAATGCTTATCCCATGCAACACAGCTGCTCCGGAAGACGGGCAAGCCCCAAACAGGACTAGCAACTCCAGTCCGACCGGAAAACTCTACTGCAGGCGCTACTCCTACATGCCACGAGCACCCAACAGAACGTAGCAGCTTCTCTGACGCTGCCGATTCCCTCTCACCTGTCGCCGTCTTTCCTCTGCTAGTTTTTGCTGCTGCACTTCCTCCTCCTTTTTCTTCTTCCTCTCCCGCTCCTCCTTCTTCTTGCGCTCCTTTTCCTGGTCTGCACGCAAGGATGCCAGGTATGCCTCGTCCTGCTGCTGCCTCAGAACCTGGGTTTGATTCCTCTCTTCCCTGCAAAAGGGAGCAGGGAGTGGTCAGGACTAGCAGGGCCAGAAGTTGTTAATACAGGGGAGACTGATGGAAGACCTGAGCATGCAGCTCGAGCACATAAGCCACAAACACGTAGGAGTAGGGACATCAGGTAGCTCCTCAGAGTGCAGAGCACTGCACATTCCTAAAGGGCAGACTGATTCTCCACAACCACTGGCCCTCAGAAACCTTCTTTAAGCTGAAGTTGAAGGGAAACAGCCTGAGCACAAAGACTTCAGTGAAGCTACACCGGGTGAGAAGGCAAATACCACACCACAGGCTGCGTCACAGCACAGGAGATAGGGACCCGCCTGCCTACACATGGTGTATCTGGAGAGAGGAGGGGACTGAGCGGAGCCTGTCTGCGTGCAGGGCATCCCAGAGAGCTGCTCTCGCCGTACCTTTCCAGGCGCTCCGACACCAGGTACGTCTGGTTGGCCTCCATGATGAACGTGAGCTGATTCACGAGGTCGTCAGCCTGGATGAGGCCTTCTAGCCGCCCTACTACTGTCATCCTGCGATCCTTCAGCATGATGACCGCCAGGAAGGGGTACGTGTTCTCTCGCAGAGCCTGGGACACTGGGAGATGGGCACAAACATCACTATAAGCAGCCCTTCCAGAAGGGGCACCAAGGCCAGGAAAATACTATCCCATCACTAAGGGCCTGGAAAAGCATTTTCTACAGCTACAATCTTTCAAGGCAGAAAAAGCCTCAGGCTCCATGCCGTTAGACTAAAGCCTATACATTTGCAATAAAGTGGCTTGGAGCATAACAACTGAGGGAAAATAAATCTTCAAATAACTAGACTTTCTCTAATTAAAGCGGGAAGTAGATTGTTTTGAATATCCATTCAGAACAGGACAAAACAGGTCTTAATGCTTGACTGGCAAAGAGAAACATGGGCTAAATGCTTGAAAGCACTTGCTGACATTAAGAATGGCTGGACACTGGAATATGCTATCACAGGGAAGACAGCAGAATCCCCATGCTGGGCACTTCAGAATAGTTTGACTGTCTTAAGACAGGGAATGGAGCAGATCAGGGGCTTTTAAGTTATTGTTCATTAATGACTAACGGTGTGCAAAGCCTCCCTGTAGCCAACTGCCTCCTTAACACACACACACACACACCCCATGTCATAGAGCTCAGAACTGTCATCACCAGTGGAGCCTTCCAAACCAAATCTGAGCATCCTGCAGACTAGATGAAAGGCCAAGATCTCTTCTAGCCCAGTTCTCCAAGCCATGACTCTGAAGTTTTGCAGCAATTTCAAACAGCAGTAAAAATGTGTTTTTTAGAAAGCCATTCTGTCAATAGGTCAATAGTTGGCAGCTGAACTATGAAGCCAGGAACGATCCAAATTTAATACAAGAACTACAAACCTCTGTTCC